ATAAATCACAAAATCGATAAATTTGACCAAAATTGACTTTTCTGAGGGGGGGGGGGGGCTTAATCAAACAGCGCTTCGTAGCAAATTCTATAAACGTTATAAAACGTATTTTAGAACCTTCATAAATCTCTATAAAAATGTCTTAGACTCTTGCGAAACCTGTACAAATATTCCGCCTTAGATACATATATGGAGATTAGATTCCATGTGACATCTTTTCTTTAGCTGTACGATAGGTATTCTCTATAGAAATTAGGAAGTGGAGCATCAATCAAGATTCTTATCACTTACTACTAGGCACATAGGTCGTTAATGCTGTGGTTGTTACTGATCTCGTCGAAGTTGATGTTGTGGTGGTTGTTGATGTTGACGTTGATGTTGATGTTGTGGTGGTTTTTGATGTTGATGTTGATGTTGTGGTTGTTGATGTTGACGTTGATGTTGATGTTGTGGTGGTTTTTGATGTTGATGTTGATGTTGTGGAGGTTGTCGACGTCGGCGAAGTTGTGGTGGTTGTTGATGTTCTGGACGTTGATGTTGATGTTGTCGTGACTCTTGATGTCGTCGAAGTTGTGGTGATAGCTGAGGTTATCGATGCTGTTGCTGGGAAAGTTGTCGGAGCTTTATACAAGAAAAGAAGCACAGTATAGTGCAACATTATATTTTATACAGCTATGGACCAAAAAAAATGATAGTCCTCAAAAGCATAAATTGCAACGAATCCGAAGTCTTTTTCAAGTTCCGTATGGCACCATTTTTCGAGTGGCCGATGCTATTAATTAATAATCATTTCCCAATAATTAAAACATCACTTTCGGCATTCCTGAAGTCCTGGTTGAGCAGGAAGTGCAAAAGAAGATATAGGAGATGCCTTGCTAGAAGCAGATTGAACTTTAAAAATCGATGATAAGTATGTAGATGTTCCCTCTGGGAAGGAATTTATCTTTTATATCAGCGGTTAGACAGTCTTTTCACGAATAAATTATACTAAGATAAATCATACTGAGATTAATTCGGTAACTTTACTAAGCAGTTATTTTCTCAGTCATTACTAAAGAGTTCCGTTATCAGGTACCACTTGCGTGTCTACGTAACGGAAGCTTCATATCATAACTCCAAGTTTTAAAATAGTCCGTACTTTTTGACGACTGTTTCAATAGAACTTTTCAAGGACTTTGAATAAGCAATGATAGAACTTTACAATAATGTTGCTCAGATAAATTATACTATCAGATTTTATGTCCATACAACTCTAGAGTGAAAAAAATCCCTGTCTTTGACATAAAATACTTTCGATCTAATGCTATGAGTTTACACCTATGTCAAATCGCTTGAAAGCATGGCTAACTTCGGGTATACCTTTTATAGGCAAAGCTCGAAATTATCAGTAAATGAGATTGGGTATGTCGATGAAAGGATCACTAAAGATTCTTCATGAAGTAGTCATCAAAATTCCTAAAGAATATGATGCTAAACGATGTAAGAATCTTCTATTCTATTAATGTATCGCCAAGCATATAATTAATAAACTCGTCGAAAGTTAAATAAAAATAGTAATTGATCTAACTATCGTTCTCAGTCAATTGCAAAGTAATTGAGAAGCAACAATACTCACTTTGACATGATGAATTACAGAACACAGTTAGATGAACATCAAGCATGACGAAATATTCTAACGTCTTCCTGTATCGATGAAAACTGTTGCGAATAAAATTAGATTGAAAGAATAGATATTTGGCTTTTGAAAACATCGATAAATCTTTCGATTTTGGGTAAGAATTTCCAAATCGTTTCAGCATTTACGCTCAAATCTAGATAGCTTCTTACTTAATAAATAGTTTTGTATCACCTAAAAAATTGTCTTAGTTTTTTCCGAAATCATCCATGATTAACTACGAACCTAAAAGGGTTTGAAATTCATACACAGAATCATTATGATTTGGGATTTCGAACTCTTAAAGATTTGTGTTTCAAATCTTTTCCACAATTTCATTCGTAAGAAAACATAACATTAGTTTCTGCTGGTGTTTAGTAAAAATTTCGAGTCGTTCGCTTCTCAATGTTTTTTCAATTCAGCATTTTAGTAGACTCATGATGTCTTGTACAGGCAAAACCGTCTGCTCGGCGTCATGTCCTTTTGAATGAAAGCCAGCTTTAATTATGTGATGAGGAAGAACAAGATTTTAACTTGGGAAAATGATTTACAAAAATATTTAAAGTTCAAATCTATGTCGCCAGCTTGTACCTTGATTTTGAAATCTTGTATTCTTTCTAATTAAACTCGAGTTCTTTGCATCAAAGTTGGAGAAATACGTACTGATAAAAAGCTCAAAAATGACATACTGCAGGAGTGATCGGTTGTATCAGTTTTTGCTTGAAACGTATGTAATTTTATAGCTTTAAAAGAAACTTTTAATATCTGTTAAAGAGACTGAAGCGAGAAAGCCTATGCGGAGAAATAGGATCATATAGTCACTTGTCGTCTTATTTTGTTGGCGAAGCGAAAACCCTACCTTTGTCCTAAGCTGCAAACAACGAAGAGATGTACATAAACAAATAGTATTAGAATCTGGTTATATACCAAGGAAAATGATTTCTTGAGTACTTTTCATATTCTCAGGTTAACTTCCACACATAATTATCCGGTCGACTTTTTTTATCGATCTCATTAGTGTCAAAAGTAGCAGGTTTTGAAGTTTGACAAGCTGTACGAAAGAATGGAGAATTCTCTTCTTCGGATTTTGGAATCCTAGATCAGTTTAGACCAAAATATTTGTCACCGCAATGTCTGAGAGACCTATGTCTTCTTAAATAGAGCAGGTGATTCCATAACTTCACTCTACAATGCAATACAGTCACAAGTAATATGTTAGAAAAGCATGTGAAAGATTGAATGGAAATATACTATACTGGTTCTATTATTTTTTTCAATAGTGAAGTTTGAAAACTAACCTGCAGTCGTGATGAAAATTCTCGAAGTCAATGGTGGACAAAGTTGAGCAGAGGCACGGTTAATCGGATAACAAACAGGAATACTACACCTAGTATTATTGACACATAGCGTATTGGGTACCGAACATGTCTTATTATCATTTTCACAGGGAACTAAATCCTCGCATGACACAATGGTATCAGCACACATTCCTCCTCCAGTCATTGTCACCAACAAGCATTCACAATCGACATTGGCTGAACACTGGTTTGATTTCGTTTGACAGTATGGAGATGGGCAGCATCCACATGCTGGAAATTGAGTGTCAATTGTGTCTTGGCCTATAGTGATGTTTAAAGAGAACCTATTAATTAATTAAGCAATGACTTTTTGGTGATAAATATTTAAAGAAAAAGCAAAAAGCACTAAAAATTAGGAGCATCGTGATCTTATATTAGACGCTTCACTATGTGGCTGAATAAAATCAGTGTCTCATACCGGTAACAACAGTACACACAATACAACTAAAACAAAAAAGTCAGGTATCTCGTTGGTTTATTTTCATAGTATTACTCACACTGCTAGTACTATTTCAATTAGAGCTCGTCGCATCATTGTTGTTGAAGAAATTACATTGATCGAAACATCTACAACTGTTATAGGCGACGGAACTACGTCAAACATGTTTACTTGTATGATTCATAAAAGAAACATTTGCTCGTGTCTCTGTCATGTTTATTCATGTAGATTTGCTGATTCTAGGATCAAATAGGTTTTAAAAAGCCTTAGCATATAACGGTGGTTCTCTAGAATAAATATACTTTGCTTTCCTCTTAATGGTTGACTAGGCACTTTGAAAACATGAATAGAGTATACATTGAAAAATATTATTCACAGGCTTCGTGATTTTGCCGTGTGTACCGAATTGAAAAAAAAAATTTGATGAAAATAGAGTGACCGTTGGCAGTTCTGAAAGCTCAATGAAAGAAATGTATATTACAGTATGCTTGGTTGAATTCCATGAAAGAATGTTTTGTTTGAATGAAAGTATTCAAACATAAGGGTAGTAAATAGGAGGCCAAGTGTTTTTACTGAATGGCTGGATGATAAACACGATAAAATCAAAACATGTATGTTTGCTTACATCGATAAAAATGCCATGAAAATAGTTCATTTAGACATATCGTTTCTGTTGGTTTTCTATGATTGTAAGATCGTATTTCACCGTTGGAGAATTCAGTATTACCCAATCGTCGTTTAACTTGAATCATATTGATTTAGAAATAAAATTTTATCTGATTGAATAACTAAAATTACTATCTATAAAGAAATTATAATTTATGTGTTATTGTTTGACTGTATTAAACTGTCCAGAATACTTTGAAGGAAGGGAACGTATGCTTAAATGATATACTTAATAGATGAATTGTGGAGTCTAGTACTTTTTCTTTTTCTTCATCGTTGTTTCTCATTCAAAATTGGCAATAACTCATTGACAACACGTTTCATTCGAGTATGGAAGGTAGAAAACCTGTTGATTCACTTGATTGTTGGAAAAATAACGAATTAGTGATTAAAAAAAAACAATTTTATCTAGTTTTCAATGATGGGTGAGTTCGTTTTTGTATTCAATTATTATTCATTCATTCATTGCAATCTGTGTAGCCTAACTGATTATTTTAATCAGATATGAATTTCATGTTTGAATCATCCTAGTAAAATGAAAATATTGCTTACCAAATGCTTCAACGTCTTATAAGGATTGTACATCAGAGCTATGAAATCATATTAAGAACATAATTGTATAAATTATTTTAAAAATAACTATCAAACATTTGTGACTAGTTTTTTTCGCTTATCATTGCTTCTTGTCTAAAAAGAAAATGAATACATCAATTGTTTTTATTATAAGAATGATTTATCTTTTAAGTTAATAACCGATAAGTATTACGAAAATTAACCAATCGGAGGAATTATCTCATTTGAAGAAAAATTCCTAACAAGCGCAATAAAATAGTGAGGATGTATTTGCGGGTGATATGGATGCCTGTGGAGAAAAGACATCCACATTCTCACACCCACACCCTGCTCATTAATTCATATCATCGAATAAGCTAATTAGAATTTATCGAACGTTTATTATTGCTGTATGCTTGACTAAAAACAATGTGATGGAACAACCATTTTTTATTTAACTAAAAATTTGGAATTGAATATTAAACGATATTAGTTAAAATCTAATCTAAATAAGATTGATAATATTTCACTTAATTGGGTATCAAATACGTTACAATATATATGTATTTCGAAGCTATGGCGCTTGGAGAAGTTCCAACTTCATCATAGGATTACGATATAGCAATAGCTTTGACAAAGAATTTTCAGATCGACTTATTCTCAAATGACTATCACCTAATTTAGCACACTGTCATCAAAGTATATATTCAGGGTGTGGATGTGGGTGTGGGTGTGGGTGTGGCTGGGGTGTGGGTGTGGGTAGGATGTGTGGGATGTGGGTGTGGGTGTGGGTGTGGCTGGGGTGTGGGTGTGGCTGTGGCTGTGGCTGGGGTGTGGGTGTGGGTGTGGCTGGGGTGTGGGTGTGGGTGTGGCTGGGGTGTGGGTAGGATGTGTGGGATGTGGGTGTGGGTGTGGGTAGGATGTGTGGGATGTGGGTGTGGGTAGGATGTGTGGGATGTGGGTGTTGGTAGGATGTGTGGGATGTTGGTGTGGGTAGGATGTGTGGGATGTGGATGTGGGTAGGATGTGTGGGATGTGGGTGTGGGTGTGGGTAGGATGTGTGGGATGTGGGTGTGGATGTGGGTGTGGTGGGTGTGGGTTGTGAGCGTTCTTCTCTTCACTTACACTCCCACCCTACCCACACCCACATCCACACCCACATGCACACCCATACTCACACCCCACATCCACACCCACACCCCGCACACATCCACACCAACACACTATCATATACAGGAAACCATAGAAAGTATATAGCTATTTATACAAATATAATAATTCCTATTATTCGTTCTGTACGAATCTACTTTTTCATTGTGACACCAATGGAAAATATTCGAAAAACTATTCAGTATAATAAATAAAGTATTCTTTGAGACTTACTATAGATGTAACTAGAAATATGAACGCTACTGCTTTAACAAAATTTTGTTTTTATTGTTTACTGTACTAATTGATCTTTATATATAGTACAAAATATTTATTTGAAGATATTCTTTCTTGTGAAACAGCAATGCTAGATATTACAGATAGTTTTATTTAGATTTGGTGGAGAACCAAAGAGTGTGGGAATAGGTCTTGTTTTATTCATACCTTTCACTCATACGCACACACACATATTCACACTCCTATCCATCTGAAACTCACATCATTTTAGCTTTCATTTACTTTTTTCTTTCGACATTTTTTTGTTCGACAATTTTCTTTTCTGCCTTTACCATCACTCCGTTGTATTCTCAACTTGTGACGAGCAATATCATATTATTGTGTTCTATATTTCTTATTTTAAAATGTGACGTGTTATTGCGTTTATTCTGTTTTGTTAGTGTGATGATTCATTATATAGTTTTATTTCATATAATTATTGCACAAGAACGAGAAAAATTGACATGTAGTTACAAAGCCATTTTTTAAGTTTGCAATAAACATTGAACAGTATTTATTTGACAAAAATGACAAATTCTGAAAAACAAGTTGATGAAATATTAGCATTACAATCAATTTTTGATAAAAAATTTCGCTTGTTCAATGAAAATCAATATGAAATATTAATTGAATTTGATTTACCTACATCATTTACAATACGATTCAAAGATAAAATATCTATTATTCAACATTTACCACCATTATCTCTTATAATTAATTATCATGATGAATATCCAAGTGATGATCCACCATCATTTATTCTATCATGTTTTTATTTTTCAAAAATTGATTT